ATTGTTTTAAAATGAAAAAAATAGCTTTCTTTCTAACTCACAAAGTGTGTGATGACCATGATCATCACCAACAGTAAAAACCTGTTGTGGGGGAGGGGATTGAGGTCCTCCAGCATCCAAAAGCCAGAGAGGTTTCATGGTTGCTCAGACCTATACCCTTTTTGTGGTCTATCTTTGCAGGTCATCCCTGTCTCAGCAAATAAGAGGTAACCAGGAACATATCTTCCACATAGGGCTCTTTGAAGCAAGAAGACATAAACTATTATTACTCTCTTTAGCTCTTTTCTTCCCAATGGTATGATTACAAATTATCCATTAATTTGTCTAGTGACACAGGTGAAACTTCAGGACTTTGATGTGGATGATGACATCTGGTATAATAGTTTTTATTCAGATATTATCGTGTAAAGGTATTAGGTGTGACTATAAGTTTTAGATAAGGTTTTCACAAATGGATGGGAAATTATTTGATTTTTTTTGTATTTGTTTTGTTTTGTTGAGTCACGGTTTAGTGTATTCCAGGCTAGCCTTAAATTCATATGGATGAAGCTGATGATAGCCTCCTTATCGCCTCTTCCCAAGTACTGAGACTATAGTCAAGACTGCATTGAGGAGAAAGATGCATTGCTTTTAATGTTATCACAAGAAAACTTCAGCTGACCAAGCTACCACTTTCTAGAGTGTAACGATAGAAAGTAAATGCAAGAGGAGCCTGCGTTTAAGGTCTAGAATTCAAAACTCATGTTATTTCGCCTCTCAATCGGCTCCCGTCTAGGCTTCAATGAGCTTTAACCCTCAATTCACAGAGAAAACTGTATTAACAGGACATAGACAGCAGGTGGCGCCAGAGTCAACATTATCACATTTGCCTTCAACATGGCTTCCGAGGTCACCAACACATAGAGCACACAAAGCAGAAATATTTTGGAGATTCTATAGATTGTCAACCTCCGTTATTCAACAGATTTTTGCTAAATCGCTTAGATTTTTGATTTATGTTTTAGTCATTCCATCAGCCTTTAAGAATTCCAAAAATAAGTTTATTTTCTATAATTGAAACACAAACATTAATGCTGATTCTGATTTCTTATTGGCTGAAATGGATACCCGGGGATCATCTTTAACATAGTTAACATAGTTAAAGATGACTTTGAACAAATCCAGTCACAATGTGGGAAAAAAGGAAACTATCACTGATCTGTGAATTAAAAAGTGTCATCAAAATAGACGGTTGAAGAAAAATACTTTGTGAAATCTTTGAGACTTTACAGAAAGGCAAAATGATAATCTCAGAATCCTACATTGAATCAGCAAAAGAGAAACTTGCTAAAAATTCCTATTCTTCAATTTCAGGATATTTAATAAACTTTTCCATAAATTATAGATTTGGCCCCTATACAAACACAGTCACAAAGAGATGCAATTTAATATTCACGTTGACACAGTCCTTTACCTGAGTCTGAGAACCTTGAGAATGTTAATTTGTGATTTATAATTTTACTGCAAGTAAATTTTGCCTTTTACTAATAACCCTTAATAGCCCTGAGCCAGTACAGGCTCAGTTGCTCAGTGGGTAAAGTCACCTGGTGCCAAGCCAAAGTACCTGAGTTTGGTCCCCAGGACCACATAGGCAAAGAGGAGAATTGTCTGCTATGAGTTGTCCTCTGACCACACACCTGTAATGACATGCACAATGTACAAACATGCACACATAATAAATAAATAAGACCATTTGGTTTTTTTCCCTTTAAGCCTGATCCAACTCACACATATCTTTGATTCGAGTTGGTATTTCATTCATCTCTGAAACCAAACTTTCTGTGTTGTGAATAATATATGGAATATTTACCAAGTACTACACGTGCTAGCATGTGTGCATTTATATAATGCCCATATAGAATATGGTTAAATATCCCGGTGTGATTGTTCTCTGTGATATGAAAACTATGTATCAAGCCTTTGAATTGTGCTCCTATTTGCCTGTTTGTAAGGCTAAGTTGTGTTTGCAGACTTGTGCTTTCGTAATAGCTGTCAGTATATGCAAGCACTTGCTGAGCGTGGCCATCTGGCACAGTAACTAAGATTTATCATTTGCATTTCAGCAAATAAGCAGAATTTCCTAGCTATGAACTAAAACATAATTAATGATTTTGTGGATTATCCTTCCTGCACTAGCCATTAACTGGAATAGTCTCCCGTGCAGTCGTAGGCGTCTATAACTGCAGACCTAACTTGTGATAATTCCCCAACTGTTACCTATTTACAGGATTCCTCGATTCTGTTTATTTACTCTCAAGTCAACTATGGCCAGAGCAAAGCACACAAGCACATTAAATAGCTGTATGAGAAAACTTAATAAATAATAACGGTTAGAGGTAAAGGTATCTTTACCAGAAGTACACACTGCGTTTCAGGTATATGACAAGACTATCAGGAATAAGATTAAAAACTATTGACATATACACAGTGGGAATTCCTGTTACAGCATAGTGTGTGAAAGTAAAGGTTAGCTTGTATTATGTACTTAAAGGCCAATAATGTATGCATATGTCATATATGTATAGATATGTATATACAGGGGACGTAAACTTACCTATGTGTGTGGATGGGTGGATAGGTGGTGGAGGACCCAGAGCTAGGCATGCGTACACATTAACAAGAATGTTCACTTTAACATGTTTATCTAGCTTCCTAGGAATATACCTTACGCTTTTCAATAATAGAACTCTTGTTTTCTTTAATGTTTCCTACCATTTGAATAAAATGATGAGGCCAGTTCTCTGTGCTGTCCGTGGATACTTCTCAATCCTAAGATGTCAGGACAACAATAGGGCCTGTCCTAGCACTAACAATGAGATTACAGAAAGAAGCAAATTGGGCTTTTTTCAGAGAATCCATTTTGTACTAGAGCAAAATACAAACCATTTTGGTACATGAGACCTTAATTTTTGTACAGATTTTCTTTATTCTGAAAGTCTTGCTGGTACACAAATACAGACAGCCACTAAAAAGATACACGAGGAAAGCTTTGCCACCAGGAGAGGAGCCTAGGGAGGCTGACAGTCCCAGGCATCCAGAAAGCATGGCAGAGGAGAGAAGGAGCTCAAAGCAGACTTTGCATGAACTATCAGGATGCCTAGACATCAGAGACTGGTGAACAATTACTACAGATGCTTTGAACCTCAACCCTCATGAGAGGGGACCTGAGGGTGGCCAGGGGTGTCTCTTCTTACAGTGACACCATAGATGTTCAAGAGGTCACAGAGTGAGCTGGCTAGAATTGCTAGATATTTAACTTGTTATTCTGGTTCCGTGCCAGACAAAGCTCATTTTGCATAATCGAAAGGCACAAAGTTTGCATATGTTCATATTTTCATATTAAGCAATATTCTGTCACTCTAGCCAAAATATCAGACTTTTTTTTTTAAAGATACTGTCTCCATCTCCTTGTAGTTTTTGTCTCGACTTAGCATTGCTTTAACCAGAATTTCACCCACCAAATGTTTACTGGAGACACTCACTGCTGAGTTTCACTACCGCAGCTCACCACATGGTGGCGACAATGACTCTGGAGTCAGACACTTAAGATTAAATCTGGTGAGCTGTGGAAGTATCCCTATGTGGTTTTCAGTTCCTTCCACATTTCTCTGGAAGAAGACGGTATTTGTGACAGCAAGCACGCAGTTGTGCACTTATGTTTATGGTTTTATGAACAGAACACACATCCCACTATACTGTAGCATCGTACAGTTGTTGATCGGCTCTGTTCTACTCTGTTGCTTTAGCTCTTGACACAGAGCATAGTTTAGGAAGACATTCTTTAATTCAGTAGTTTTCCATGGTACACTCTCTGCAATCTTAGGTATTTTAAGCAGTTTGGTGACACTTCATAGACTAGAACACACTTCTGTTGTAATTGTACAACATCGATTTTACACACACATGCACTCACTCATTCACACTGAGTCTGCATACGTGGCCCCTAAAACTTCAATGTGACCCATAATTACAGCCCTGTCAGCTTCTATTCTGAGTATCATTGTCTAAGTATATAGCCTTAAAGCAATGTCTCCTTAGTGGGGGGAGAAATGTTTTTTTTTTAATGAAATCTAAGTACAGTCACGTGAAAAGAATAGGACCGGAAGTGCGAGTGATGAGGTCGTAAGTCAGACCTCCCATTTCCGCTACTGTATTACTAGTACCACGAGCACACAAATCCTCATTCCTCTCCTCTCCACACACTATCCCCTCCAACCCAAACTCATCTCCCCTGTCCCCCACTGGCAACCTGAGTGACCCAGAGTGGCATTCCAAGGATCAGTCCGGGTGAGGTCCGTTCTCAGTTGCCCCAGACTTGAACCCATCCCTGAGCTTCAACAGTTTGGCACGATTTGTTGTCTTTGCTTTTCTTCTTCATTCTAAGGTGATAACTTTGGGCAGGAGGACCTTTACTTCTTCGTGACACTATAGGACTCTGTTTTTTTAAACCTTGCTAAGGTACCACTCATGCATAAATGCTATTTTACAACAGTCCCCACCCACCCTCATTAAAGAATAAACAGTCCTGCCTCTCACCTATGAAACAAAGTAGAGACTGATGACTGAGACCTTCTGGGACTGACGTTGCTGCTATGATTTGTCTGCAGGGAGAGCTTGTGTTAGGCTCCTAAAGGATGGACACCAGTGCTTGGAGTCTTAATCACAGTATTGGCTTCACTGTAATCATGTGGAGGGCACGGGAGAGGAGAGTAGCTGGAAAAGAGTCATGGCAGCCACCCTAGCAACTTCTCCAGCAGGAGTAGCTTCATATTTAAAATAACCTAGAGACCTCAGAGAGGACAGAACTTAAAAGATGGGTCCCATCCTGAGCACTGACACAAGACATCAGTGCCTAGCCATGCCTTGCCTCCTGACCACACCTTGCCTCGGATGTCACCTTCAGCTGTCAATTGCCAGAAGATGCTCATTCTCTCTCTCTTTCTCTCTCCTTTGCTCTGCAGGACCTGGGTCGGTGAGAGGAATCAACGGATCCATCAGTCTGGCCGTACCACTGTGGCTGCTGGCAGCGTCCCTGTTCTGCCTTCTCAGCAAATGTTAATAGAATAAAAATTTAAAAATAATTACAAAAACACACAAAAATGCGTCACACAGATACAGAGAGAAAAAGAGAGTGCAAGATGGGGGGAAGACTATTGTTTCACCAGATTGTGTGTTTAAAAATGAAGGGGGAATATGAAAAAATGAAGAAAATACAAAGCTAAAAGCAGTTTTAAGATCCTTCAATAAAAATCTGAATATAATTTAGGGTGGGAAAACCTCTCCCAGAATATGTGTCTATCTTCTAAGCAAATGACTGCTGTGTAAAGATTCCATCATGCTAAGGACATCTGATGTTGTACAAGGGAGACTATTCAAGAAGTACCAGATGGGTATTAACTCCCCCACACTATACCCTTCCTTCATCCATTGTCATCTGTGGGGAAAAAAGAAGGTCTTGCCTTTGGTGTTTATATTTCCATAATCTTTTTATTCTGTTTTTCATTCGAGCTGATGTGTAGCCATTTTGGACGATCTATGGAAACCTGTGTTGAGCCTTTCTCGGGCTCCCCTGCCTCGATCATCTCTCTAACTTTAAGAGCGCCCCCTTTCGCCTCCAGTGTGTTCTATCCCTCAGTACACCCACTCCAAATATTCCCTTTTTCTCTAACCCCCACCTCCCTTTGCCCCAGCAACCCAGAACACTAGTCAGGCCGCAAACGCTAGGAAGTACCATTTTCATCTTCTCCACTGTGCGCGTGTGCTCAAGTCTCTCGCTCTCACGTAGATGTACATGTGTGTGAGCGTGTATGTGTCTTTCTCTAAAGCATGCCAGGGGAATGGTCCATGTGTACATAGACCCATTGTGCTGTAGATACTGTCCTGCACTGTAGTTGTGAAGTGCGGCTGTCACAAGTTGCTGGGGAGATGGGCTGGGTGGGAATCAAGGAGCAGAATCCCTCCCCATTCATGGCCGTCACATGACATCAGTGTACATGCAAACCAAGCTGTGCTCCTTTTGAGGGCAGGACCCCATACCCCTCCTGGTCTCATTTTCAGAACCCAGCTGGGAGTCACTCAGAATATCACTGTACATGAAAGTGCCTACTACCAATGGGGTGAGCAGACAGGGAACAGATCCGTCGCCTGGATGACATGACCTAGGGAGGAAGATGGTCTCTGATTTCACTCTTAGTTCACAAGCCTGGAGTATCTATCCATGAGTTTCATAGCTTTATAAAGGCTGAGCCCCACTGCAGAACGGAGCAGCATGTATTGAGCAAATCTTCAGAAAAAAGTGGGTATCTGAATGGTAACCCCCCCCCAATGGAAGGAGGAGCCCTTGGTGACCCTAAGCAGGCTTGCTATGCCCCTTCACTAATCTTCAAGTAACACTGCATTTGCCCCATAATGCCCCTAATTGGAGATTGTTGACCCAATAAAATATTGTGAATGAGACATAAAATGCAGACAGATGCCCGAGTCTTCTACAGAGGCTGCTAAACCTCTAATGCAAAGTATTGCTCATCACAAAATAGGAATTCCAGGCTTTGTTCTTTTTTTTTTTGGATTCTTATCCTCGAGTTCAAGGCTAACACCTTATTGGCTTCCTGTCCCACTGCTGATGTATATGGACCATTGCCCATAGAGGCCAGTCAGTATCCTAAGCCAGGCCACTGGGACACTGATTGAGCGCACCTTCCCACTCCGTTTAGACTTACATCTGTGAGTCCTCTTGGCACCAATACTGAATCCTGAGGTTCTTGCTTAACCATCAGGAAGGTCTGAGCAACATGTGATGAGTCCAAGGAGAAGTGTGAGCATTCCAAAGCCCTGCACCATCACCTTGCCAGCAGTGTTGGCCTAGGGGAGGTCTCACAGGAAGGCTGCTTCTCTGCATGTGGGTATCTTTGCTAGGAAACCAGCCGCTGCTTTCCCTTAAAACTATATAGAAGCATCCGAAGTGATTCACCTTAGGAAAGGATGAAGGGTTATTGCTGAGGTCATAATGCAACGCTATCTCACAGAGCCAAGGCGCATCAAGTTTTCTGACCTTTGAAATGGCTGTCACATGATACAAAATGAAGGGAAAGAAGGAAGAAAAGAAAGGAAAGGGAGGAAGCAAAGAAGGAAGGGAGGGAGGAAGGGAGGGAGGGAGGGAGGGAGGAAGGAAGGAAGGAAGGAAGGAAGGAAGGAAGGAAGGAAGGAAGGAAGGAAAATGAGTAGTATTTTATTTCTTCTAAGGAATTACATCATTTAGTTTATAAATCTTTCACACCCTGTCTTCATGGTTTGCAGTTTAGACATGATCCAGAGGATAGACAGGGCTTAGGATGAATAAAAGTATTTAAGGAAGATCAGATAGGAGTTCCTATCCAAGAGGGTAGCTAGTAAAACATAGGGAAGGGGTGGCAGATTCCAATATGATATATTAGCAATCAAGGACTTCTCTAGCATTCCAGTCCTCTTGTATGAGAACTGAAGGATACGTGTTTCCCATGCTAAAGAGCTCTCCACATCCTTAAGTAAAATCTTAGAAGAGTGCGTGCTGGCCTACACAGAAGGAATAAGGAAACAGGAGTTAATTCAGCTTCATTTAGTATTAGCTTCAGAAATGGATACCTGTGACATATCATAGGTTTTGACAATGCACCTGGTATTCAGTCCCCATCCTATCATAAGGACCAGCTCTGAGTTTTGTGGGAGAAGCCTCGCCTTTGGAAAGGATTCCTGGTCATATCAATACCATTCATTCTTTTTGTTTTATTATAATGGCCCATAGAGCAAACAGCTAACGATTCTTTGAAAATGTGGTTTGCCCATATCTCCAACAAGATCTGAGATTTTTAAGAATGTCTCTCCCTCGTGGAGAAAACCTGGGTCTCCTCATATGCCACATAAGTTTGAGAATGTTGCTAAGTCACATGCAGAACTGAAGGAATATTCTTTCAAGTAAGAGTAAAATCACTGAAGGGCCAGGTGACCTACACCAAGATGTCATACAATTGACAGAAAAATTCATCATATTGCTGTAAATCCTTCCAATGATCTAACTTGTTGGTAATGAAAATGCAAACGAGTCATTGGAACAAATAGGTAGCACGGAGTGGAGGAATGTATCCGTAAGCCTGGACCACTCACAGATTTCATATCCTTTGTATACAAAGTGAAAGTTACACCATCCATAAGACAAAATCTTTAGCCTCAGCTTTCAGTTTAAAAAGTAGAAATTACCTTGACTCAGGGCAGGCCCCCAAAAAGAATAGCTCTCCTGGATTCTACAACTGCAGGATAGTCTATTCTCCTTGCAGTTGGTGATCAAAATGACGTTGTCTAGTGAGAAGTATATTGTTCTTGTGAAACTTAAAATCGTTTTCTGCAGAAAAGAAAAATTTACAGCTTATGGAAAAGCAGATCTGTTTAGAAGGGTTTTTCCCTGAGCTCTTGTGTTCTCTTCCAAGTAAGACAAATATTTTTCCCCTTTACCATGAACATTTTTTTTCTTTAACTTCATTGACAACTGAGGCTATTCAAAGAGACCTTATAACAATACTCGTGATTTTTACGTTCTTGGAGGACAGAAACAAAAGCGTTTCTCCTCCAAAGATGGACTTTACCTCCTCTGCCTACAGAGACTTAAACTCCTCAGCATGAGGCTGCTTTTTGAGTTCTTTCTTCTCAGCCCACAGTCACAGGGTCCTCTTCAAGATGATGACAATGTGACAGCTTTTATTGGCTAGTCTTCCTCAAGTCTTAACTTTGTCCTTTACAGGCTTTGAGTTCTTAGAGCAAAAAAAAAAAAAATTATCTATCTGTGTATGTGTTGTTTTAGATCTTATCTCTACAAATGATATATTTACAATAATGTATGTATTAAAAGAAAAATTGAGAATGATGGTTTAAACTTAAAAGGAAGAGAGGTATTGAATTTGGTTAATTTTTTTTAAAAAAGTGCTATGCTTCATTTAGAAAAATGTGGATGCCTTTTTGTCCACTTTGTTATTATTTGTTTAAAGGAAGTTTACTTAAGAGACCAAGTGCTATAGGATTAACTATGTCTTCATGGTTTTCTTTATTCTCACAAATTATCAGCCTGGATTTAGTTTTGGTTCCCCAGTAAACTGCCAGTTCTTATAATAATGTAAGAGCAGTGTTACATCTGACCTAAAAAGCTATTAAGACAATGAAGACAAATAAATATACCAGAAAAAAAATATGAGATAGACCCCAAGAAACACAAACTTACTTTAGGAAATCTCTTTCGCGCTTAAGCATTAAAAATGTTTCTCCTCCAGAGACTTAGTCTGCCCAAGCGATGTAAATTCCCCATTATGGTTGACATCATATCTGTAAACATCTCACTAAATGCAAAATGAAGTTCACATTTACGGGCATACCAGTGGGAAGAAAAGTAAACTGTTCTCGTTTGCATTCAGCTATGCTGTTCAAATGTCACCAACTGAACCTCAAGAAAGAATTTGGTTTTGCCCACAATGTATATCACTTTCCTCTTGGCAAGGCAGCTGGTGTTAATATTAGGTTTAGGTTTAGCATTCACGCCAGCGAAATGTTTATGGATATTGTAGAAAACTTATTTTAAAATCCTGATTTCTCGTCAGTGCATTTGCATACTGTGCTGATTAATAAATTAGGCACCAATCATGTGTAAATCAATGTAAATCACTAGTTTACGTACATAACATAAACTATGTAAACTTCATTTCTCATGCAGAGCCCAAGTTCAGCTAAACCTATAAATCTTAAAGAAAAAGAAGTCAAAATAAGAAGAACGAAATCCGAAGCTTTTTACAGGTCAACGGTCTTAGAGGAAAGTTCCAAACATGGTTGCTTTAGCCAAAGGAAGCAGACCAGGAACACTTCGAGGCACTTCCAGCCAAGTACAGCTGGCTCTTCTTAGTTCCTTCTGCCTCAGTGAAGATTCTTTAGCCTGACCCAACCAATCCTAGGGAAATGGAAAGAAAGAGGACTAAGGTATGAAGGAATCCTGGACCCAGGTTATTGGTTTCTTACCAACTAATACATATTATATTGTATCTTTATTTAAATAGTTCCCTGGATTCACCAATACTTACATGAACAGATTATCACACATCCCCCATTTTTCGGTCTGCTTTACACTTAACCACACTCAGAAAATATTATTGTTGTTATTATTATTATTATTATTATTATTATT